TACTATAGAAAATTTATTTAGTAACATCAAACCTATCATTTAATTTAATAAAATTTCTTCAAAAAACATAAAGGGTACGAATACTTATGAGATTGACCGTAAATATTTGAAGCACTAGAATTCGTATCAAGATGAAAATTTTGCTCATCCTTGTAGAATTATGGTTCTTTCACAGAGACGTGTATGTGTGTCGAGACAACTGGCAGCATAAGGCCACCGACACTTGTCCGTGTGAAAGATCTTTTTGTCTGATAGCGACTGTTGATAGTAAAACTGTCGAGTTGACACCTGAGCATTAGGCACTCGTATCGCCGCGACCACCAGCACGCCTACGCACACTAAACTCCTGTCCGTCACTCGCGCGGTCGCCAGCGTGCTCGTGCGCGCGCGTGTCCCTTTCTTTTCACGTGGAGAACGTCCATAAGCTCCTGAAAAAATTAAAATAACGTAGAAAGAGGAGGGGGGAGAGGTAATCTATTGCCACACTGTTTGGAAACTTTCCGCGTAGCAAAATTAAAAAAATATTCCTTCGAAGGAAAACTGCTTCGAAGCCCTCCAAGCAAAGTTCTCTGAAACAACCAATTCGTTGAATTCTACATCAATCTCTCCAAGATGGTGCTTTAGAGACTTAAATCCTGAAGAAAGTTCTTTAAAAAATGGATCGATTTTCTTTTCGAAGCTGCCAGATTGCCCCTCAAGGGAATGGAAAGGAAAAACAAACGTTCGAATTTATGTTCTCGGTGAACCGCGTGGATTTTCGCATCGAAGACAATCCCGGATTGCTTGCGGGGGCGTTTATTCTCTGATGCATTTTCATCGTTCTGTTCGTACCATCTGGAGCACCTTCCTTCTTATCAAGCTGAAAGTGCACCGGAGAGCGTGAAACGAGCCGCATTCATCTGAGTCGAATCCGCGGGTAACGTTTAACAGCGGAAAATACTGTCCTCGAGGCTGAAACAAATTACAGGAAACTTCTCTCGTTTTCCGAGGTCAAAATTTAAACGTTATCGCGTCTGGCGATGGAACGAGCGTTGAAAAAGACACATAAAGGCTAAACGTTATTCTGAGAAAGAAGCATAACTGGTTAGGAAAGTAACAGAAACATTCTTTTCGCGATCTGAGGAGAGTAACGTTGAAGAAAAGAAACCTAACACGTTGAGAAGGCAATAGAAACCCTCTCCATTTCCTGGCTGGAAGTCATAATTGCACGATGTAAATGATTGTTGAAAATGGATGTCTCGAACGCGAGCTTTTGGACGTGTTCCATCAGTGTCACAGCAGTGCTTATTCTCGTAGCATTATACTGTCGCTGTCCCGCTACCACAGTCACATAGAAAATATTTATATCGTTACTGTGGTTACTATTCCATGAACACCGCCGCCACCATGTTCGCATACCTCACGTAATTCGTGTTAGAACAGTCGTAGTCGTTCCCCAAAGTCGTTCACGTTTGTAGCTCTACCCCGTTTAGCCTGAACGCGGATGCGACATCGCCCTGGAAAATCCTCTAACGCGTTTCCGGTGGTTTCAGCGCGTTCTGGTTGAGGCTGACCTCGCTAGTGGGGTGAAACCATCCCCCTGACCTGGCAGTGACGTTTTCGTCGCTTAACGCGAGAGATAAAATGAAAGTTTCCGATGCAAATTCGACGCCTCGACTTTTAACTCGATTTCGTGGTTGGGAGCACCGACGTATAGGTAACGCCGGGTCGATGAGAACTATGTTTCCGGAGTAGATTCGCGAGTTTCGAGATGTATCATTTGTAAAGAGTGAATATTGTTTGATTTGGGAAATATTGAAGATTAAATACTGCTTGGACTTTATTTTGTAGGGTGAAAGTATTGGCAGAATTATACATGTATATTTAGTAATACAGTCAGTCCTGTAAGTGTTCGTACCCTCTATTGAGAAGAAATTTGTCTAAATTAAATAATAGGTTTGGCGTTTCCAAATCAATGGTTTAAAATTATAAATATGTACACGAATAAACTTTACACATATATACATTTATAACGAAAAATTTATTTGGAAACATCACATCTGTCATTCAATTTAAACAAACTTCTTCATCAATAAATGTAGAAGATAGAATTCTCATGAGACTGACTGTATATTATAGTTTGGAGTAATAATAAAAATAATAGGAACTTTATATGAAAGGTTAAAGGATCAACATTGTATCGATTAGAATATAGACTGTATCCATATAGTGGCTGAAACGCACCCTAAAAAGTGTGCCGTGCCAATATTTTCGTTCGACACTGTTGAAAGATCTGTTTCAAGAGACGGAAGCGTCTGGGATGAAATTTCACCCTGAATTTATGCTGAACGCTTTGGTTTCGATAAATTTGCTCGATCGATTGCTTTACGATCATGTTTCGAATGGAATTTAATATCGCGGCTTGACATCCCACTAGTCTATGAAACTTTAGGCGTACACTAGTAATTAATCCGGTTTAAGTTTCGGGGTACTTAGTATAGTTATAATTATAACAAACACAGCAGGATTTAATTGGACAAATGAAGTTGATACGTTTAGAATTCAATCGAATTTCCAATCTTTTAATAACCGTTGCGAACAAAGATATTACAAACAATTGTTTTATTCTAAAGTCACGCGGTTCAAGAATATTCAG